GAGGGGAAGGGGGAGGGGAAGGGGGAGGGGGAGGAAAGGATTTATTTACAAAGGTGTGGGCAGATTAAAGAGCACATGCAAACTCTCCAGCGGTTAGTAGCAAAGGGAACCTTATACCACCACCCGACCTGAAGGGACAGAGGAAGGGGATAGTGTTAAGGGAGGCTAGACAGACCTGGGAACCTGGAAGAAGGACCTGACAGCATAGTCGTATCTGAAGGAGGTGGAGATGGACGAATGGAGTAAATACTTCAATCTGTCTTCTGTTAGTGTTCCTGAGAGTGCATGTTCACCCATGATACACCAGGTGGTGTAGCATACAGCTAGTCACATGTGTGCTCAGCCTACTCCCCCAAATGCCATAAGACCACATAGAAACCTACATTAAAGTGAGTTTCTTAAGGAACAGAAGTAAAGGATAAACAGAAACTGCTTTGAATCAGTGAAAAAACAAGAAAGCACATTCATCTGTCTTGTTTTGGGGTAGTTTCACAGGGTTTTTGTTTTTAATTTTAGTTGTCAAATAATAATTGTATATATGTGTGGGGTACAAAGTGATGTTTTGTAATATATATATGCATCATGAAATGGCTACATCAGGCTACTTAATGTAAGTATGTATTACCTCATACTACTGTGTGGTAAGAACATATAAATTCTCTTTTATCAATTTTGAAATATATAACACTTTGAGATACCATTAATATATGAATAGTGATAAAAGCTCTGTATTCTTTTATTTGGCCAGTAGTAACTTCTTTTTCATCAGTTGCTTTTCAAAGTCACATACTAGGTTTTTTTCTTTTAGTTTTTTTGTGATTTGCCTTTTGTATTTTTTTGTGAGGAGGGTCTTTAGGATACAAACTCATTCATTCATTTAACAATTATTTAATGAACTCCTATTATATAATCAAAGAACTGGGCTGGGTATCTTGGGCTATTCCTGGGAATATTTATTAATTTCCTTTAAAAAAATTGCTTATATAGGAGGGATGTATTTCAATGTAGCCTGTCTTTGCTTATACTTACTAGTTGTGAGTACCAAAATTTAGGAAGACCAATTATAAACATGTGCCCATCAGAGGAAACCAATGGGGATGAAGGAGGTGTGTATGGTTGCTGGAAGTAAGCATGTTTTAGCTGATAGTTAAGCAAAATTTGAGACAACATTATTAGTTTCTGTAAGTGCTTGAATAGGTTCTAGGTAGACCAGTGATAGAAGTTTCACAGAGCAAGAGCCCAACCTGATTTTTTTCTGCTGTTCCTTAGTGCTTACTACTACTGGCAGATAAACTTCATCTCAGGTGACGTAGAGGGCCTGAGCCTCCCTAATCCTTTTCCAATAAGTCCCACTTTTGCATCAATAGAAATCATGAGTTCTATATGAAGAAAAACATGATTTTTAAACCAAAAATGTTGAAATGTTTAATATTTTTCAAATATAACTTTACAATTTTTATGTTAGTATTTTGCCTGAAAAATAATTTTATTCCTGATTATTACCCTGCAGAGTAAGTTTGTTTCATTTTTGGTATTTTTTTCCTAAGAACATCTATTCTTTCAAGTTTTACCATTAATGCATTATCCATTATTATAAGTCATTTACACCTGGTAATTCAGTTATGCCAAATAAAAACACAATTGTTGGTTAAAATGAAATCATTATGTTCTGAAGTTTTTTATGTTTGATATTATACAGTGTACTTTGATATATAACATATAACATTTATTTTGTTTTGGAACACAGTTGAATATAAAATAAAACATAGTCTCATTTTAACTGTAATAAAACTAAATTTAAAATGAAAACACCTGCATTAAAACTTAATTTGCAGTATTGGTGTAGTATATTTTCATTTGCTCTTTATTTTTCCTTGTAAATTTTTACTATTTCCTTATAATCAAAACCTAATCTGTAACTATAATCAGGTGACTATCTAATAAATCATACTGAGAAATCTACATAGTATTGTAACTATTCCTTTTTTATATTTATCAGGAAGTTCTGTTGTGGTTGCTGTTGATTTGGGAGCTCCTTTCCACTTTTTAGTTATTCTGACATTAAATAATGCCAAACAATTTAGTTTCCCAAGGCTAGATTAAAGTAGTTCCTTCTTAACCTTAAATTTTTAATCTATTCCTACTTTAATCTACTGCCATCCTCAAGGGAAAAAAAAGGAAAAGAAAAAAAGAATCCAGTTTTAAAGAGAAAATGTAAAAAAAAAAAAATCTTCTTTGGGTATTGGAATCCGAGAATCCTTCATTCAATTTTGGAAATGCTATAGAGTAACACAAAATAAGGGTGGAGAGTTCAGTTGTTAAGGTGTCAGTCAAAAATCTTGTCAAATTCAACTCTACTATCAGATTTATGTATAACAAACTTTCCTGTCAGTCAAATAGATTTTTTTTTTAAATCTTTCTATATTTTATCAAATTCAACAGTAAGGAATCCGTTTGATTGACAGTTGAAGCACACATAGTTTGGGGGAAAATATGTTACAATTAGGTACACTTTCCTTTCAAAAAAAGCATTCTGGAGTAACCATTATTTCAGTGGTTGTTATTGTCTTCTACAGAGAAACTTGCAGTTAATGTACATAGGTACAGCTTTTGAAATTTTCTCGAAGTTTAAGAACAAATCCTACTGTCAAAGTGGCATGGATGCAGGTAACAAACCACCCAGGCAGGTCAGTGTGTGACTGGTCCAATTACCAAAAAAATGTTGACGTAACAGAAGCTGGAAGTTCTTGTTAACTGTCACTATTGCTGTATATATAATCATGTAGAAACTGCATATATTAGTGCTTTTCATTTTTTAATGGAAAAGTTAAAATAATGACAAAATAAATGTTATATGCATATGACATTGGCAATGTATAAATTTCTTGAAAATATGGTTCATGAATGTTAAGGTACTTTATTATTGTTTTCATTAGCCAACACTTATTAATATCTCTCAGTTAAAAATCATCATAATTTAAAATTCTGAAGCTGTTTTAGTGAGCTATCTTCTTATAGAAGTAAGACCTGTCCACCTTTAAGCAGCAAACTATATCCTCAGTATCCTAACCTGCATTTCTAACCCTCCTATGTAGCCCATCCCTACTGCTTGCCATTCAATATGTGTCCAAGTGTACACACTAGTTTTATGAAGGGAAACTCCTGAAATACAGAATTATCTTTTGAAGACTAGACTCCTTGTAGCACACTTGGAATTTGTTCCTCTGGATAAAACAGTCAACCAAAGTTTTTATCTGGAAATTTTGAGAAGGTTGCGGCACAATTTGCAGAAGAACTGTCCCAAGTTATGGTAAACAGGTATCTGGTTCTTCTACCATGACAACGCCCCTGCCCAACGCACCTGAGTTTTCAGCAGTTTTGACCAAAAAAAAAAAAAAAAAAATGGCACCTGCGCCCCACATTCTTTATTCACCCGATTTTGTTCTAAGCAACTTTTTTTGTTTTCTCAAATGAAAAAAGTTCTTAAAGGGAAATGTTTTGATGATGTGGAAGAGGTAAAACAAAACATGGCAGGAGCATTAAAAGGTATCAAAATTGATGAGTTCATGAACTGTTGTGAGCAGTGGAAAAAGTGTCTTGATGGGGTATTGTATCCGAGATTACTTTGACAGTGATTGAAGTAAAAATATGTAAGTATAAGTACACCTTACTTAAAAATGTGCGGAACTTGGTGCAGTGTGGTGACTTTCCTCACCTGTTAGTGTATGGACCATTGGGTGCTGGAAAGAAGACCAGAATTATGTGTATTTTATGTGAACTTTATGGTGTTCGAGCGGAAAAATTGAGAATTGAATATCAGACTATCATGACTCCATCTAAAAAAAAAATTGAAATCAGCACCATTGCAAGTAATTATCACTTTGAAGTTAATCCCAGTGATGCTGGAAATAGTGACCGGGTAGTAATTCAGGAGATGTTGAAAACAGTGGCACAGTCACAGCAACTTGAAACAACCTCTCAAAGAGATTTTAAAGTAGTCTTATTGACAGAAGTTGACAAACTCACCAAAGATGCCCAGCATGCCTTGTGAAGAACCATGGAAAAGTATATGTCCACCTGCAGATTGATCCTGTGCTGCAATTCTACATCTGAAGTGATCCCTCCTATTCGTAGCAGGTGCTTGGCAGTCTGTGTGCCCGCACCCAGCATTGAAGATATTTGCCATGTGCTGTCTACCGTGTGCAAGGAGGAAGGTCTGAATCTTCCCTCGGAACTGGCCCATAGAACAGCAGAGAAGTCCTGCCAAAATCGTAGGAAAGCCCTACTCATGTGTGAAGCCTGCAGAGTGCAGCAGTATCCTTTTACTGCAGATCAAGAAATCCCTGAGACAGATTGGGAGGTGTATCTGAGGGAGACTGCGAATGCTATTGTCAGCCAGCAAATGCCATAAAGCCTCCTTGAAGTTCGTGGAAGGCTCTATGAGCTTCTAACTCATTGTATTCCTTCTGAGATGATAATGAAGGGCCTTCTCTCAGAGCTGTTACATAATGGTGATGGACAACTGAAAGGGAAGTGGCCCAGATGGCAGCATATTACGGACATCGTCTACAGCTGGGTAGCAAAGCCATTTATCACTTGGAAGCATTTGTGGCCAAATTTATGGCACTTTATAAGAAGTTCATGGAGGATGGGTTGGAAGGCATGATGTTCTGACTTTTATCAGTAATTCTTCCAAATATTTCTAAGTATTAGCATTTACATACAGCTTGTATTAGAAGAGCTATGGGTAAAATAAACTAACTTTATTGATCGTGTCTTAAAAAAAATATATATATGTTTTTTGGTAGGATCCCCTCATACAAGAGATGAGATTTCTCCATTATTTTTAATAGCATATAGATATCATGAATCTAGATTGAGGCAATTGCTATGCTAAGTATAGAAGATACAAAAGTATTTTCATCATACCCACTCTGACAGTCTCCTAATTGCCACTTTATGAATACATTGATAACAACTTTATCCCTTTATATTTCCCAAATTTCAGAATGCTTTAAGATTAGAGAAAAAAAAAACCCAGACAAATGAACAAATAAACAAATGGTCAGGGGGTTATTTTGTACCTTCTGGTTAAAAAGTAAACAGTCTTTAAGATAAGGAGTGCCCTACTAGCTGCTGAAAGAAGGAGGCTTGCAGAGAATGTGTGGGAAGCTAACCAGCAACATCAACTCAAGGGCAAATAATTAATCAATGCAGGCTTCTGTGTGTAGAAATTATTCTGATGAGTGAGACCAGAGTCATTCATTTAGTCACTAAATGGGTTAATTGCTTTTATGGTCATTGTAGCTTACACAATACAAATCCAACTCTAATTATGAAAAAAAAAGAATGAAAAATCAGGACACTATTGATGGTGAGGAATATTACCATGATGCTAATAGATAAAACAGCAATTGACTTCTTTTTTTTTTAGAAATGTTCTCTAAGATAAGATCAACCATTTTCTCTAATATCCCAAAGCCAATTTATTAGTGTCACAGTCACATTTCTTTATACAGTATTTAAGTGTCTATTATTGCTTCATATGTAATGAGCTCATCAATGTCAGAAAACATGTACTAAACATCTATATAATCTCCAACTAAAACATCTAGTACATATGGTAGGTGTTAAGGAATATGTTCTTGCAGATCTTTCTTCTTTTCAATATACTTATCTATAAGTCCTCTTTGTTAAATTTGATAGGCACCGCCTATACCATACAAAAAGCATTAGAGGGTGCAGATTTACTGGAACATCATGAAGGGAGCTCTCACCTTGATTTTCAAATTCTAGAATACTAAGGAAGGTACTCCACCGAGGACAATCTAACCTATCCTCCCTCTTCCAGTGCCAAAATTTCTTCATGGAGAAATGTCCCCACAGAGACCCTCCAAATGGCCAATATACTGGCAATTAGAGGATATGGGCATTCCAGATGACTTGAAATTACAAAGGATAAAACATACACTTGCACAGATTCAGGGACTCCCTCCACAGGTTTTCATTCAGGGATCTCAAGGAGACAATCCTCTCAAGCAACAAGGGGAGTCAATTGCCTAACTCCCTGCCATAGAAGTTTGGTGGTTCCCTGGGCCTTGTTCTGTCACTCAGGGACAATAACCCCTTTACAAACTTGGTGGTTCACTGGAAAATGGATAACTCCCAAAGGTTCTTAGCCCTGTTGGACACTGGTGCACGGGTCTCTGTTATTTTAGGAAATACTCATTTACATTCCTATGCAATCTACAGGGAACTGCAGAAAAGATTATTTAAGGGAAACACATCTTATCTTAATTTCTGTACAATTGGAAATATGTTCATTAACTTCCCCAGTAGTGGTGGCTTTACTGGCTCTCTTTTCCCACTACAAGGATGGATGCATTGTCTCGCTGCCATGCAGGTGGAACAAAATTAAACCCATAGTATTGCTGGTGGGAAAATACAAATGGGACAACCTACAGTAGCTGGTACCTATCAAGGTGGTAAATATACGACTATATCAACAACAACAACAACAAAAGATTAAGAAAGGCTATGATTAGTAATTATTTTCAAAGTAGGAGCTATTATCTCCACGATTTCACCTTTTAACAGTCCAATTTGACCCATATTAAAAGACACTACAAATGAATGGAGACTGCCATTATTTAAATGCCCAGGTGCCACCCATTAAGGTTCCATTTCTAACTGTTGAATTAATTGAAAGTAGCCAAAAGGCACCTGGTTATTACTTTGCAGTAGTGAGCCTAGTCAATGTGATTGATTTCCTTCCAATTTCAATGGATTCCCAAAGCCTATTTGCCTTCACTTTCATGGAAGCACAATGTAGGTTCACGCACCTCCCTATGGGGTGCCTGGACAGCCCAGCTATTGCCCACACCCTGTGCCAATAATGTCTCCAACAGTTAAAACTAAGAAGCTGCCAGGGTTGGCACTATATACATAGCAAATTCTTATAAAGGGGCCTTCTGGAGACACAGTGCAGCAAGATTTAAATACTAACCAGACTGGGCCATTGCCACCCCCATGGAATACTCATGCTCTCTCAATCAAGTCCTTGGGGGTTATACAGTTATATAAGGGTTGAAAAATTCCTACTACTCCATCAATTACTCACAATCCAACGACCCAGACACTCAAACACAATACTTTTTGGACCTTTTCTCATTTTATTGACAATACATTTCACATTCAATATTACTCCTCAAGTTTATCTACACCGGGACACACAATCTAATTTCTTTCACTGGGGAAAACTCCCAAAATGGGGCATTATAATTGGCTCAACAAACAGTGCAACAGACACTGCCTTTAGTGACCAGGGGTTCTGATTCCTTGTAGCATCCCTGTCCATTGGGGACTATACTTCATGGAGACTGTGGGCACAACCAGACCAGTCTTGGTTGTTCACAGGACTCTGAACTCTAGAACACCAAGCATTGGCTGCCTACTGGGCTCTAGTTGAGGTACCCACTGGTCCCAGCTCATGACACTCCACACACAGTTGCTATGATACCTTGGGTGCGCGCTATTTCCCACTAAAGGCTCTCAATGTCAGGGATGCCTCCCTGACATTGAGGCATTTAACAGGGATGCCTCCATGTTAAAATAGAAATGGCATTTCCAGGAAGGGGCTAAACCCAATTCAAAAGACCTTTCCAAATTACAGGGAGATGAGACTTCCCCCATGCTCAGCTCCTTGCCCACCACCTTTGAGGACAGGTAATGGTGCCTTCACTACCTGTCCCTCTGGGCAGGTGGAAAATCCCTTGAGATCAACTGTGTTCCCTGGAAAGGGAGTAGGTGTCCTTCACTGGCCAGACCACTCCCACTGGATGCCATGGGGGCTGTAGGAGGCAGTGGCATGCCCATTCTCACACCCCATCCTGATGGAGGAGGACATTCTCTGCTCCAACCCCTTGCCTGGACTTGGAGCAGAGTACCTGGCTCTTAGAGACACCCTAGAAGATTGCCTTCATGAATTAAGAATTTTCACCTGTCCTTGCATGGCAGTTAGTGGGTTAGCCATGTGGTTGGGGTTATGGAAGCAAAATAACTTTCAAAGTCAAAATAAGCTACCAGGGGTTCCCCCATCTAGCGTGAACTGGCCCCAGTTGCACTTTCTGTTTTCCTGTTGCCTGTGACAGCGCACACCAACTGAGTTATATCTGAGGCCCACATTGGCGACACTACAGACACACTTGCTATACACACCCATGTTGTATCAATAGAAAACAACACAACAACAACAAAGTCGGATGTGCCACAACCTTTGGCAGAAGGGGTCCAAATAACTTCAGGTCACCAGGGCACCTCAGCCTCAGTGAATTGGGCCTATTATAGGGGATGGCCTTCACTCCTTCCTTAGCTAAAATCGTTATAGATAAATGTGAAACTTGTTCCAAAATGAACTTTGGTTATCCTTTCACAGGGACACAGTTCTGGTGAGACAATCCTTATTCATGATGCTTAAGTAATTGTAAAGTCACCTCGGCCAGTCACCCCTGAAGCCATCAGGTATCGCCTTACTATGACTGACTCTTTCAGGGTCTCTACTATCATTCCTTACACACAGTTCCACAGCCACATCAGCCAATGCTGGTCTGACAAAAATCTATTCCAGCTTCTTTCAGAACTTTTAAAATTATTAAAGTCTAGCAGTCGGCACTAGATCAAGTCATACTGTGGAATTTCCATCTGTTCTACCACCTTCAGGTGGATAGGTGTTTATTGACTAACAATGAAAGATCAATTACTTAAATTATTAAGGGATGTGGTTCCCTAAGTAGATGGCCATTTTATCCCAGGCTCTCACCCTATTGAATTGTCCACCAACAGGATTTCACATACTGCACACCAGTTATACTAAACCTCCTACATTGCCTCTATCGATGACTCCAAGTGACATAAATTTATTTGTTCTTTAAAGTGGAGAGCAATTATATATAATATTCGCATAGAACAAATCTTCACTTTATGTTTATGAATTCTCGGTTGTAACTCCTTCTCTACCTCCCACTAGTATTCACTGGCAACCAGATGTGGGGTAAATAAGTGATTATTGATCCCCTTACTATCACTAGCTAGCACTGGTGGCCCCCTGCAACCTCCAGACTTCCTGTGGGTCTCCCATGAACACCTCTACCCTCTCTGGGACCTGTCAGTAATACATTCCTTCTGTTTTATGCATTTAGTTTTACTTCCTCGTTGTGTCTCACCTAATACACACACACACACACACACACACCCCTAAACCTAACCTTCTTCCCAGGCAGCATTCTTTCTTAGGAAATGGCTGTCTTGGTGGCAATAACAACCTAGTACTGACAATAGCTGCAAGTGTGTTTACCAGATTTCTGTGAGAGGCAAAACTGGTCACATATATGCCGTCTGCCAGGATAAAGAAGTATCCTACAGAAAATTTACCATAAACATCAAAATTTTGTGGTCAGGTCAGAAATAGAACTTATGGCCACTCCCAAGATAAGCAAACTAAAATTAGAAGGAAGTCATACCAACAGAAATATTAAGAGTGTCAAATGGTTTACTGCATTTATTTATTTATTCATTTATTTATCATGATGATAACATTTCACTATGCCACCAAGACTGTTCTTGAACTCCTGATATTAAGCAATCCTCCCTCCTTGGCTTTCCAAAGTGCTGAGGTT